CTGGTACACCACCCACCTCCGCTCACTGAAAAGCCAGGTGCGGGCTGCTGAACGCACCTGTGTCAAATCTGGCCTAACGGTCCACCGACAAATCTGGCTGGACCTCCTCAAAATTTACCGCTCCACTCTAGCCTCGGCCAAGTCGTCCTTCTACTCCAGGATAATCCTGGAGGCGAAGAACAACCCCAGGCTACTGTTTTCCACCACAACCCGACTCCTCCGTCCCCCCCGCCACCCCGCGCAGGTCATCTCCTCCAACCTTCACTGCGAGGAGATGCTGGATTTCCTTGAATCCAAGATCAAGGGAATTCGCTCCGCGGTCACTTCCCCTCCAACATCCACCAACCCCCCACCCCCTCACTCCCACACTCCGACTGCTACCCATCCTCCCCTACTCACTTTTGTACCCGTTTCCCCACCCTCTGTCACCAAACTCATCCTATCCCTGAAACCAACCACCTGCTCCCTTGACCCCATCCCCACTCCACTCCTTATCTCCCAGCTCCACTTTCTTGCCCCACATATCACCGACATCGTCAACCTGTCCCTCTCCTCTGGCTCTGTCCCCATTCCCTTAAAAACTGCCACCATCACGCCCACCCTGAAAAAACCCTCCCTTGATGCGTCGCAGCTATCAAGCTACCGGCCCATCTCCAACCTCCCCTTTCTCTCCAAGGTCCTGGAAAGAGTTGTCGCCTCCCAACTGCGCTCTTTCCTTTCCACCCATTCACTTTTCGAACCCCTTCAGTCAGGTTTCCGTGCTGCCCATAGCACAGAAACTGCCCTGGTCAAGGTCACCAATGATATCCTGACCATCTGTGACCAGGGCTCCCTCTGCCTCCTCGTCCTCCTCGACCTATCGGCAGCATTCGATACGGTCGACCACGCTATCCTACTCCACCGCTTGTCCTCCCACCTCAACCTTCAAGGCACTGTCCTTGAGTGGTTTAGGTCGTACCTTTCTCACCGTCTTCACTTTGTCTCCACGAATGGCTTCTCCTCCACCCCCCGCACTGTCTCATGTGGTGTCCCTCAGGGCTCTGTCCTCGGTCCCCTCCTCTTCACCCTCTATATGCTCCCCCTCGGTGACATCATCCGCAGACATGGAGTTAACTTCCACATGTATGCGGATGACACCCAACTCTACCTTTCCTCCTCTACTCTCAACTCCACGACCACCGATGTCCTGACAGCTGCCTGTCCGACATCGAGTCCTGGACGAGAGACAACTTTCTTCAGCTCAACGTGCGAAAAACCGAGGCCCTCCTGATTGGCTCACGTCAGCGCCTCCGCACCTCAGGCGCTGACACCATCAGCATCCAAGGCTGCACTCTCCACCTCTCAAAGCCAGTCAGGAACCTCGGCGTTTTGTTCGACCCTGAGCTGTCCTTTCTCCCTCACATCCGCACCACAACTGGCACCGCCTTCCATCACCTCCGGAACATCGCCAGACTACGGCACTACCTCACCCCTCACGCTGCTGAAACCCTGGTCCACGCCTTTGTCACCTCAAGGCTGGACTATGGGAACTCTCTCCTCGCCGGCCTTCCCGCCACCTCCCTCCACAAGCTGCAGGTCATTCAGAACTCTGCAGCTCGTGTACTGTCCCGCACCAGGCTTCGGGACCACATCACTCCCACCCTCGCTCGCCTCCACTGGCTCCCCATCCCCCAGAGGATTGATTTCAAGATCCTCATCCTCACCTACAAGGCCATTCACGGCCTTGCTCCCTCCTACCTCTCCAACCTACTATCCCCCTACCTACCTGCCCGTACCCTCCGTTCCTCTGGCTCCGGTCTGCTCCACGTCCCCCGCCCCAATCGCCCTACCATCGGTGGTCGGGCCTTCAGCCTCTCAGCCCCGAGGCTCTGGAACTCCATCCCCCAGTGCCTTCGCCGCTTCCTCCCTCTCCTCCTTCAAGGCCGGTCTCAAAACCTTTCTCTTTGACCGAGCCTTCAGCTCCCCTCTCGACTCTCTTCCCCCTCCTCGCTCCCTCCCTTCCCTCCCCTCACCCTGACCATTTCCCCCCCTGCTCGGGTCCTGACCCAACTGTGCAGCGCCTTGGGACGTCCTCCTGACGTGAAAGGCGCTTTATAAATGGAATCTTGTTGTTGTTGTTGTTGTTATACTGGAGTATTTTTCTGACGCAATGAGGGATCACACATGCATCTAAGTGACAGAGGTAGGTTCTGAAGCTCGCAGGATCATGCTGCAGATTCCGATATGGTATTTATAACTAGCCTTAAACCTCCATCCTCTGGCTCTTGGGACTGGTGCACTTCTCAGCTGACTCAGGAATTAACTGGAGTAATTCAGAGATGAAATTAGTCAATACATGCTATCAGAGATTTAGGGGATGAAATATGTTGGGTGTATTTTTACTGAATATTAAAAGCCACAATTATTCAAAACATGGACAATAAAATGAAAAACCTGCAAAAGGATTGAAGAGGTTGGCTCTTGCCAATGCTCTTATTTTTGGGCCAAATAAAATACATTAAAATGACTCTTGTTTCCTAAAATGAATTATGCATTGAGCATGCTCCAGATGGAACTACCTCGTGCTATTTTGGTAGGCTCATGAATAATGAAAGCTGAAAGTCCATAAGATAGAGCTGATTCTATATTTTTTGGGGTCAGTTTGGTGCCAAACATGCAAAAACTTATCATGATGCTTAACTGAATCCAAACCAGACAGAGTTCCACATACCTACACATATAAATTTCCCCATCTCTGGAATGGAATCTCCCTGCTTACCTAATGCCAGAGTATTAAGCACAGGTTCGAGAGTCAAGGCTTCAAGACACGAGAGTGCGAGTTGGGGTACTGCTGCAGTTTAACCGGCTAAAACCATGTAGCCTGTCATTGAGAGCACTGTCTGACAAGCTTCCTGCTGCTTGTTCAACTAGGACCCTACCCTGTTAGGGCTTCGGCTGGGAGGGTTTCCAGGAGCTGAGTGGAAAGAATCCCTGCCCTCCCACATCTTGCTAATGAGCAAGTCTACCTGGTCTATTCTCAGCAGTGCCTTGGAGTACCACAGACCTGCCTGGAGCAATGGGTAGTTCCTGTTGAAAATGGGTAGTTACTATTGAGCTATGAATAGTTGGAAGTGCATAGTTGGAGCAGCAGCTGCTAACCTCTCTCTATACCAATCAAGGTGGGTCTGTGTATCCACAATATACTCACATATGAGATTGATTAGTTGTGTGTGTTCACAAACCCAAGTAACACCTTCCAGCAGCTGTCATTCTAAGCCTCAGAGTTTCCCCATCGGCTTTTGTGGAGTCCTGTAGCTCAGTGGTTAGAGCACTTGCCTCGCAAATGAGAGACTTGGGTTCGATTCTCCCAGGGCAAAATGTTGGGCAAGTTTCCTTACTCCACTTGCCTCTGTTTACCTAGCAGTAAGTAGGAACCCAGTTGTTAGTCAATTGTCGGATCGCTTTTCCGGGTGGGGGGGCGGAGTAATTCCTTTTTAAAAAAATTGATCACTTCAATCCACAACTGTTTCTGGGACACTGCTGTGCACAATTGGCTGCCGCGATTTGCCCACAAAATTTATAGTCAATTCACTTTACAGTATATTCTGTGAAGCGCTTTGAGACATTTCAAAGACGTGATAAGGCGCTATATCAAATGCAACAATTATTATCCTCATAGAGGGTGCTGGCAGGGCAGAGAATACGTCAGAATCTTTTACCCTGATTAAGGAAAACACGTAAAAGGTTCAAGTTGGAGAATTAGACAAGATCCTACAAACCTAGACAGAGGAAACTGAGTGCCAGACTCCCTCACATGCTTTTAAAAGGTCAAGAGAAAATCAAACATTGATGGCACAGCGTAAAACAAATTACTGTCATGGATCCAGTGGGACCTCACTGCCAGCACCAGACCCACAACTAAGTCCTCGTGAAATGGCAGAAAGAGAGGATGACTTCATAAGATCTGAGTAGCTGCAGTAGGTTAGATCACTGTTTATCACCTGCTAACGTTGTTGTGAGATACTTCCCAACCAAGAATATAATGAGGCGGTGACACCAAATTAGTTTCTGAGCCATGATATTAAAATAACGTCATTCATTACTTTTAGTTCTTTCTTAAACTTCATTTCTCCTGAGAATGTGGTTTTGATTTTAAAAGCAACTGTTTGGGCGCCTCTCACGTCAGCTACAGTGATGGAGGTGAGTGCGAGCCTTTCAATTATGCTGCATGGTGGGGTAGGAGTTTGACTACAGTTGGTGGGAAGGCACGCCCCAGGCTAGTGCTTTTGGTTGATTTTTAGGAACTGCTTGGATTTGAAGAAAAAAATAAGATGTTAGCTTATGTGGTGATTCAAAAACCGCACTTGAGGTGACCAGAGGATAAAATTCCCCGAGTTGCTAAAGTTATGGGCCTTGCTGGTTTATGAATGCCAAGTGACTAGCATAAGTATCCATCAGTTGTTTCTTTCTTTTCATAATGGTTCAATATTCGTTCTCTTTTTTTTTCTCTCTATCTTTCCCCCATGCAATGCTTCATTGCCAGAGTTTCCTATTGTCTCTCCTTCACATGAGTGAGAAATGAATCACACACCTCAGCAAGCGTCTGGGTAAACATTAAGCAGCATTGATAAGTATTGCTTCACGAGCACAGCACAGTTGATTTTAATTTTCACCTCCCCTTAAAATGAAAAGAGCGATTAATGAGCCCGTCAGATAAACACAAATATGCCTGTTTGTGCTTGAGCCAATTTAATGCCGAGTGCTTAGATGCTGAGGACATTTTAATAGTGTTCTCTTTGACTCATTGAAATCCATTGCGAGTCCCTCACGGTTCGATTCCTGTAGGCAGTTGCATGGAATTGCGTATAATCTACATCACCGAAACAGGCCATTCGGCCCAACTCAAGTTTCTACAACTAAGGGACTGTTCCACCGAGCAAAGCCAACATATGCTTCAAGGTCCTGAATTGCTGACAGATTGTCTTTACTCTTATCTCCAGGTCCCCCATTCATCTGGAACCATGGAGTCCATGCTCAATAAATTGAAGAGCACTGTTACCAAGGTAACAGCAGACGTTACCAGTGCAGTGATGGGGAACCCCGTTACTAGGGAGTTTGAAGTGGGACGCCACGTGGCGAGTGGTGGACCAGGGTTAACGTGGAAGATATTTAATGGTGTGAAAAAGTCAACCAAGCAGGTGAGTTCTGCACAGGAGGGAATTCTTACCAATGTTTAAAATGTATGGGAAATAATTGCTTTATGAAGTAACTGGAACTTCAACTTCAGTTTGTTTCTGCGCAAGTGGGCAACCCTTTAGAAAGTGCATCCCCACCAACCCCTCCACCCCAATTGAGTGTGATAACGATTACATTATAATGGGGCTGTCCTGAATGTGTATTACTTAATTATGTATTGAGCAAACTGTTTATGCGGGGCACTTAAAGAATTTTCAGGCTTAGGGGACATATACTGAGTTCGATTATTAGCTAGAATTTGTACAAATTCCTTGTTTGAGGACATGTTCGTATTCTGTTGGTTTTATCATGACCTCTTGCTCATTCTCTTGATATTGAGTGAGCTAGAAGTTACTGAGCGTTGGCAGCTTTCAGCTCCTAGTCACTGACTTATGACTTCAGTGGAATACCTTCAGGGAGTTATATGCTTCATTTCAAATCATGAGATAAATTAGAAATGAATGTGTAATAATGAAAATTATGACATGATAAACTTTTTTTCAGAAATGTTCATTTTCCAATATTGTCAGACTTTACATTTTAAAATGTAGTGTCTAGGTGTTGTAACATGTATTTGATGTGGCACCACAGAAATACTTCTGTGCACTTAAAAAATGATTGTTACATCTACAGATAAAAATGTGAGGATCCAAGTTCAACAACAGTGATTAGAGCAATAATATTATTATTATTAATAATAATCCTTGCACTTGTTACAGCACCATAACGAGTTTCACAGAATACACTGTAAAGTGGATTGGCTGTATGTTGTGGGTGAAATATTATAAATAAAGAATAAGAGCCAAGTCTCAGGAAATGCTGACGATCTTTTGCAGAGCACGAGTCTGTCCACACCTAGATTACCTTACAACTCTGGTTGCTGTGTTACAGTAAGGACAAGGTGGCATTGAGAGGGGGCAGAAAAGAGAAACCAGATTGGGCATTAGAATTAGGCACCTTAGTTACTAAAAGAGGCTACGAAAACTGGAAATATTTACACTGAAAATGAGAAGGCTCCCGTGAGTTCACTTTGAAATATTTAAAACCCTAAATTTATAAACTGAACCTTAATTATATGTTTAGCATAGGCAAAAAAATAGAATTTTTTTGAAATAGAATTCTTATGAGCTGGACATGAATTCCAGCTCATAAGAGGGAAGGTGAGCAGACAAAGAACAGCAAGGATTTCTCCCTATGCAGATCAGTTGCCAGGTTTTCCTGCATTCATTACATTTCAAAGTAATTTATTGTATGAAGTGCTTGCTTTGAGACATTTTCACATGACAAGTTGCCAATGTAAATGATTATTGCTTTTCGAAAGTGTAGAAATATTAAAATAGCACAAATGTCTTAAATACATTGTGCTAAATGCTTCTTTCCCTGTTAGTGCCGTTTTTGATCATTCTACTTTACTTAGCTAAGTGAATTTCCTCTCTGTTTGTGAGAGGTCATCACATGACATCTTGACTGCTTTCGAATGATTTCCACAGAGCTTTCTTTCCACCCCTTTCATAGGAAATTGGTCAGCACAGCTCACACTGTTCATTTATTGTTGTTTATAAAAAGTTTATAATTAAAGCTGGTTTAATTGGGACACCACACTGGGAATGTAAGCATCGCTATTAGGAGGACCCATGGGAATTAATTGATGCTGCAGAAGATGGCCTCATTAATCATGGTCTCAGAGTGCCCAATTTCTGCACAAAATATAATCATTGCTTTCTCCTCTTGCAGTCCAAACAGCTACTGTTGAGTCATTGGAACATTTTCAGATTCGGTGCTCTCCTCACTCTCCACTGCTGCAGAAACCCTCACCCGTGGCTTTATCATGCCTTGGTGATGGACATTCCTATTGTACTCCTCACTGGCATCCCTAACTTTACTCTCCATTAACTCCATTTCACCCCAAACTCTGCAGTTTTTATTTTCTCCTGCACTAGGTTCCACATATATTATGCTCGTCAAGCTCCCCTAGCTACTGGTACCTCAGCAAATTGACTTTCAAAATCCATACCCTTTTTTTCAGTGACCTTCATGGTATTGTGCTTCCCTACATATTGAACCTTATCCAACAACAACAAAATTACATTTGTATAGTGCCTTTCACATTGGGAGGACGTCCCAAGGCACTGGACAGTCTGTTTCGGTGGGGGTCGGTATCGGGGAAGGTGGAGAGAAGTGAGGGAAGGAGGGTGATTGAAAGCATGGTCAAAGAGGAGGGTTTTGAGATGAAGGAGGCAATATAAGAGGTGAGGCAGAGGGACTGCGGGATGGAGTTCCAGAGGGTGGGGGCAGAGTGGCCTCAGTGGTGGGCCGGCGAGGCGGGGGACGTGAAGCAGGCCGGAGCCCTCTAAGCGGAAGAAGCAGCCAGGATAGTAGGAGGTTAGGAGGTTGCAGCTGTAACGGGGAGCAAGGCATGGAGGGCTTTGAAGATGACCCTTTTGTCTTCTGCTCTTCCAATTCTGGTCTACTGTTCACTCCTAATTTCATCTGTCCTCCCATTGTTTATTGAGCCTTCAGCCACCATACCCTTCTCTTCTGGCATTCTTTCAAAGTCCATTTGCTTTGCTTTTTAAGCAAAGGACCTTTTCGGAGAACCTATAAATAAAATAAAATATCAGTAGCTGTTACTCTACACCATGTGTCTTACAGTTATGCCTAACTGAGGAAACAGGAAGATATTGAGATCATCTTACCTCTTACTCTGATTAGGTCTTTGTTTAAAAATCCATCCTGGTTAGTAAGAATCTGGCCTTTACTTATCACCTTCCGACAGCACCCTGGAATCTGTCATAACAGATTACCTTACCTTGGCTTATTGCCTTTGGGTACCTTGCAATAAATTCTTAAAACTGCTCCTTTGTATTGTGAGCCTTTCTCTGAGCTATTCCAGGACTAACTAACACCAATTCTTTCTCTGTTTCACAGCTAGTCCTTGAATGGTATCAGTTTGTTCCTTTCCACTCATTCATAACTTTGATAGACTGGACTTCACGCAATTATTCAATGGCCTTTCCATTCAGGGTTAACTATGAGGAACTGATCCTCTTGTGTTTAATTCTCCATCTCACTTATCCTTAATGGTCTCGCGGGTACTTAGTAAGAGGTAATGGAGATTGCATGGCCTGGTTACTTCTAGTCAAGGCAAAAGACAAACTGTAGAGCTCTTATCATCGAGAATGTCCATCTCAAGATACTCGCTGGTTCCACTGGCCTAACTAGCATTACACATAAATCCAACAATGGTTTTGTTGTAAAGTAGCCAGCCTATTGCCACATATTGCCAACATTTGGTTGAGTAATACTGAGGCTGAAACTAAAGATTTATAATTTTATTGCACATTCTCGCCTTGTTTCAGGAAGTTGCTGTATTTGTTTTTGACAAAAAAACAATCGACAAGTATCAAAAATTTGACAAGGACCAGATTATCGATTCTCTCAAACGGGGTGTCCAGCAACTAACCCGATTGCGACATCCACGTCTGTTAACTGTTCAACATCCGCTGGAAGAGTCCAGGTAAGAGGCAAAAAATGAGGCTTTACGTCATATTTAATTCATTACCATCACGTTTATGAGAATATGTAGATTCTCTTCTGGTGATCTTAGAAGTTTAGTTCATGAGCCAAGCAGGTCTGTAGTATTCCAAGGCATTATTGATGGACCAGCCAGCCTGGCTTGTTAGCCGGACTAAGAGGAGTAAACCAGTTACTGGAGGCTATGATTCTTCCCACTTGGCTTTTGTTAACCTTGCAGGCCAAAGCCATAACAAATAAGGTAGTCTTAGCTGGATGGGCTGTGGGAATCTTGCCAGTATTCACACACTGCAAAAGAAACCATTCTCTGCCCCAGAAAGCTACTGAAGTGGAATCAATAGGAATGCGTGAAAGAGAGATTGGTAAATACTTGGGTAGTAGACCTATACAGGGATACAGTGAAAGTGGATTAAGCTTAATGATCTGAATGGTCTCCTGTTCCTGTTTTCCTATGTTCCAATTTGTGAATAAACTGTCTCAATTTTCTGTATAGGGACTGCTTAGCCTTTTGTACGGAGCCAGTCTTTGCAAGCTTAGCCAACGTTCTTGGTTGTTATGACCATCTACCATCCCCTGTACCTGTGGAAATTAAAGAACATAAGCTTCATGATGTGGAAATCAAATATGGTTTGCTACAGGTGAGTTCGTAATGTGGAAACGTTTTTCAGGATCCTGGTTGACGTTGATGAGTTGAGTGGCTGAGAGCTACATTAGAGTCTCTGAGTTACGGGCCACACAAGCTCCATTGTTTTATTTGTATGAGTGCTGTCCATTCTCAGCTGGTTCAGTGGATGGAGTTCCATGATTTCACCTGTACGCAAAAAGATAGATCGTTTTCATTCCTCCTTTGGCCTTCACTGAGTAGTCCCTGCAGACCAACTATGGGAGAGTGACAGAGAAATCAATGCTCAGACTGCTCCACTCTTTCCTGACCAGAGGAGGATGTTTTATGGTTCAATATCACAATTTTCTACATACCATAAAAATCAAGTATACAGTCTTCAACCTCAGGACCCACAGAGCTGAAGGTGCGAGCTACAAGTTGTTCATATTAATATTTTTTTCTTTGTTTCTCTAATGATGGTTCACTTAAATACTATTGGCTTCACTCTGCGGATGTTTTTGACTCCTGTTATCTTTCTTCTGCTGTTGATCTATTTTTCTCCATATTTAGTAGTTTCTAGTTGCAGAAAATAAATAATATCAGCTACTGTCCACGCAGTTGGCTAGAAAAAGCTAAACAGCTCCTCTGAATTAAATTGACTTCTGATAAAGCAGCTGCTTTGTAGAGATTTCTGTATGTCTGACAATCTGTTACTGCCCATCTTGTGATAAATCGCAGCTTGTGATGAGTTATGCAAAATAAACTCTTCAAGTCAGTGCTTATAAGTATCTACGGTTTACTGTTGGGATTACATCAAAGGCAGCAAATCTATCTGGATTTGATAACTGAAAGACGTCATTGAGCTAGAATTTTATTTGGTGTTTTGCTGATGATACAAACCATGAAAGGAAAGCTTTGGTGTTTTATGATATTAGAATTCTCTTAATTGAGTTCTCTGTAAGCAGACTCAAGGTTTTATAGTCTCTTGGAAGGTTGACTGGAACTGGTAATGCTCATGAGAAGTTGAGAATATGCCATGTATAATTTTAATAGTCTTTCTGAGGAGTTGAATAAAGCCAATAAAACTGTTGCAAAATCGGCTTTAAAATATGGAATTAACAGTTACTAACGTTTGATACCAACAAAGATATTGACTGAAAGTTAATGTTCAGTAATACTGAATTATGTATTTGTATGAAAATAAGATTTGAAGCCAAGGTATGTCTCACGTAAGATGTCCTTTGCACTGTGCTCAAGGTGTCTTGATGGCTTTGCTCAAGGGATCTCCATGCAAATGGATTTGCGTGGAGTCCTGTAGCTCAGTGGTTAGAGCACTCGCTTTGCAAGTGAGAGACCTGAGTTCAATTCCAGGCAGAGGGCGAAACCTTGGGCAAGTTTCCTTACTCCACACGCCTAATAATAATCCCTCCAAAAAAAACCAAAAACAATAATTAAATTGGTCATTTTCAATCTACGACTGTTTGTGGGACATTGCTGTGCGCAATTGGCTGCCGCGTTCGCCCACAAATATACAGTCAATTCACTTTACAGTGTGTTCTGTGAAGCGCTTTGGGACGTCCTCCCGACGTGAAAAGCGCTATATCAAATGCAAGGATTATTAAATCACCCGCAGCCTATTCTTTAGTATATTTCATTTTGCATCTTGAACCATCAGAATTAGTATGCCTTGTCTAAATATTTAACCTTACCCCTTTATTATCTGTTTATTTTTGCTTGCCAAACACATTCAAAAGAAGCTGCTGGAAGCCAATCTGGAAACAGAACATTTGTTCATTCACTTTTCTTCTGTAATTGAAGCATTGGGGTGGTGATGGTGGTGGGTGGGAGAAGAAGCACCCATAAGTGAGGTTTAAGAGGTTTAAGAGCACCCTAGTTCCCTATTTCAATTTGATTCAACAACAGGCCTATGTTATGTTTTCCATTATTTCCATTCTGTTGTGCCACTTCATATTCTGTGAATAGGTACGGTAATCATTTCTACCGATGTATTGCAATTGTAGAGTCTTTCGAATGAGCTTCTCATTACTTCGGTTTGATGCTGAAGAGTAGTGAGCTGTACTATCTTTTCAATTTACTATCAGCCAAAGACTACAATGCCGACTGGTAACGTGGTTGATTTGAATTGGCAGGTCTCTGAAGGATTGTCCTTCTTACACAGCAGTGTGAAAATGATTCATGGAAACCTGACCCCTGAGAATATCATTCTGAATAAAAACGGTGCCTGGAAGATCATGGGGTTTGATTTCTGCATCTCTTCAATCGATCCTTCAGATCAAGAGGTGAGGACACTTCGAAACACCCAACAGAGAAGGGTGACTGTTTGGAGCATCTTGTTCCTCGTATTGGTTAAGCACCAAGTGGAGAGACACTGCTGCAAGTGTTGGGAGATGGGTAGTGTGGGAGGCTATAAAAAGGGATAAGGGTTGGTGAGAGGGTGATGCTGTGAGTAGTGTGTTGCTGGGACTGAGGTGGCAAGAAGGGGCTGCTGTAGAATGGCTGCTCTTGTCAGTGAGTACATAGTAAGTAAACACTTAATTTCTCTGCATAGTTAATTTGATTGGTTTGTAGGATGATGATGAAAGACAGCAGTGTTAGAAGTATGACTCCTCAGACCAGACACTAAACCAGACTTTGCTATGGATTTTATTAAAACTAACAAATTAATTAAAACTTCAATACAAAAATGTAACTATATCTGTTCTAAGTGACATGCTTGCAATGTTATTGTCATTTTATTGGTAAGGGTGAAGAATGGTATGGTCTTGGCAGGTACCTGGGTGATGCTCATACTCCTATGATATCTGGGGAAGGATAGAATGCATCAATGGGCTCCAGCTGCTAACGTGGTGACATTGGAAAACAATCTGGAGCATATTTTGCTTTTGTTTCTGCCTTTCCTGCTTAGTGCAGCTCAGATTGGGAGCTAAGAGTGGGGGGGGAAGAAAATAAATCTGTGCATGCCTAATTCATTGCACAGGGCACCACCCTACCCATCCCTATGAAGCTAAGAACTTTATTTGGAGGCTTTTTCCAAACCTGCATTTAGTTTTTTGATCTTTTGAGTCAAGGAGCAAAAACTGCTTTACTCATTCAGAGAAATAAGAAAAGATCACTAATTATACATAGAGAAAAGCAAGTAATGCAATGATTTCATCCCAATTAATTTCCCCGTCATCGGAAATCTATATTTAAATAATAAAGATAAGTTTGCCTCATGCATATTGTTTTAATTTGATCATTCAGTGTTTTGCTTGCGAATTTTACAGCTTAAATTTGGTTGCAAGGAGTGGGATCCGAATCTACCGCCCTTGTGTCTCCCCAACCCAGAGTATGTGGCTCCAGAATACATCCTGTCTGTGAGTTGTGACCTGGCCAGTGACATGTACTCATTGGGGTCTGTCATGTATGCTGTGTTTAATGAGGGCAAGCCCATTTTTGAGGTGAACAAGCAGGATATCTTCAAGAGTTTCAGCAGACAACTGGATCAGGTAACTAAATGCCATTTAACTAATATTTTGCCTTGCTAAAGTTGGTGACTTGTTTATCAATTATTTTATTGCTATCCTATTATACTTCTAAAGCGTGTGTTCTGCGAGCTTAATGATGTGCAAACAAATTGATTATCCTGTTTATTAGGGTGCATGTTCAAGGTGACACTTTCTTAGATACAGGTCAATTTTCTGATCATTATAATGAGAAAAGCAAGTTTATAAGAAAATGATTGCTACTTTACTGGCGCCTGAAGACTTGCAGTGATATAAATCTGCTCAAATCTTATAACTTCAGTGGACACCAGAAAATGAAACTATTTAGGTGTAATTACAGCATTAACATGACTTCATTATCTCAGTCCCACTTTGGAAACCAGCATGTTTTATCATTTATATTAGATGTCAGCTGGCTCACATTCTTGCCTCCAATTTAGAAGGTTGTAAAGTAATATTTTAACCCACATTGGGGCTTTAATTTCATAATCTAAGCAAACATTTTAGTGCAGTGCTGTGGAGTGCTACATTGTTTGAGGTGCTGTGCTTTGGATGAAATTTTAAAAAAGACTCCTGGTTGCTTGTTTAGGCAGACATTAAAGATCCCATGGCACTATTCTAAAAGAGAGGGAAGGTCGTTCTGCCGTATCCTGATCAACAATCACATTCATTTCGTGGCTGCCTGTGGTACATTGTGTGCAAATTAGCTGCTGTGTTTGCCTACATGTACACAGTCAATATATTTTACAGTAAAATCCTGCCTGTGAAGCATTTTGACGACATAAGATGTTATATGTAAGGATAATTATTATTGGTCACATAATGTCACTAAAATCAACAAGCAATTATATGTTGATAAGCTTGTAATAATCCCTCATTTAACTGAACAATTTCATTTTACCGGAGTTTGGGGGAGAGAAAATAGAGCCACGTGGCTCCTTTTTCCAATTATTCCTCTTCTTTCTGGGCCACAAATCAATTGAACTTCACAATAGCAGATTGGTGTGCTGCTCTTGTCTTCTCTCTCCTCTGTTATTCTTGGGGTGACTGACTTGCACCGTACTGAAAAGCAGTCCAGTACTGAATTGTTCTTCCATCCCATAGAGAAATCCTGTATCTTGGTCTGTGCTTGAGATTGACAGATGAGTGGCGGGAGGGTTATGGACACATTCCCCAATGTTGTGGTGCTGTGCATCTCCACTTTGCTGTGGTGTCACACTGCCCTCTTCTGCTGGGTTTCATTTGCAGAACTATGAAAAGTTTGATGCTCTTCCATGAAAGCTGATGTTCCCGTACTGAATGGCATGTGTTGTTTTTGTTCACAGCTAACTCGGATAGGCCCCAATATACTGCATAAGGTCCCTGAGGAAGTCCGCGAGCACATGAAATTACTGTTAAATGTAACTCCCACTGTCAGGCCGGACCCTGATCAGCTGACTAAGGTAAACAAGGAGGCACAATGAAATGTTTTAATTCTATTATTCACCAAGTGACTGTTCGTCTCAATGTAGCCTGCGGAAAACAATAGGCATAAGTTGGTGCAATAAATTGTTATAACCAGTACTTTATTGATGGTTTCCTGTGGGTCTTTGCAGATTCCCTTTTTTGATGATGTAGGAGCGACAACTCTGCAGTATTTTGACTCATTATTCCAAAGAGACAACCTCCAGAAGTCACAGTTTTACAAAGGACTGCCGAAAATACTTTCCAAGTTGCCTAAGGTATGATTAACGTTATGATGCAACAGTCAGCTGCCACTTCAACCACTGTGCTGCCACCCTCTGGAACTCCCTTCCTCAATCTTTCTCTCTCTCCCCTGATCTGTCTGTTCTCAAAAGCCACCTAAAATCCTATTTCCTCGATGTCACCTCCCTTCTGCTTGACAGTGTCCAGCACCATCTCCTTAAAGCCCTCTGAGATGCTACGCTACCTGAAGAGTGCTATATAAATGAAATTGATAAAGACAGAGCAGACCTGAGCCAAATACACCTTTCTTATTCTGGTATTCCTATATAAGCCATTGCCTGCAATGTGTTAGGACTATAATTTAACTACTGACCATAAATGTTTCAGATGTTACTGATTGAGAATTAAGTACCAGGTGGCTTCTCTACATGCTTGTAAATTTGAATGTCTCAGAGCAATAGTTATAACAAAAACACAGACTCCATTGACTTAACCTTCCCAAGGTTCATTTTTTACAAAGTTGTGGAGTTGTGACACCATGGTTGACATGAGTGCGCTAGGGTGGGGAAAAAAAATGAGGGTTGTTCCTGATCACAGTCCATTGGTCTCTGTTGAAAGAAAGGTGAGATCAGGCTCGACTGATGTGGCCAATGAACCATAACCCCAGCATGAATCAATGGCAGGGGAGGAAGAGGGTTGACAAATTGGAAAACCAGAGCTTGAGAAGCACATGTTCTATATAAGTAGAAGCTTTCAAAACAAAATGGAGGTGCATTTCGAAAACTCGCAGTAGAGTAGCAATAGTAGTGATGCAAATGTCCAAAATCAAAAGCAATTGAAGCTTTTTTTTAAAGTCATATAATTCTGAAGCTAAAACTATACAGGAAAACCTGTGTGGAGAGACCATCTGTTTAAGGAAGCCAGTTAATCAATCCCAACCATCATTAACCAGTCAGATTTGAATAATAATGATGATAATAATCCTTGCATTTGATACAGCACCTTATCACGTTTTGGAGACGTCACAAAGCATTTCAAATGTGCATTTGGAGTAGTCTTATCTGTGAGGCCCATCCCTGGATGATCACCAGATCTTTTTCCTAGGATTCTAGTGAAGATGGAAGTTTGAGCATTTTATAGCTAACTACGTTGCTGCTTCTTTATGATTTCAGCGTGTTATAGTGCAGCGCATTCTGCCTTGCTTGACCTCCGAGTTTGTGAACCCAGATATGGTGCCCTTTATCCTCCCCAACGTTCTCCTCATCGTTGAAGAGTGCACTAAGGAGGAGTACGTCAAGCTGATCCTGCCTGACCTAGTCCCAGTCTTCAAACTCCAAGAGCCTATTCAGGTGTGGAAACTTGAGCTTAATGGAAACTGCAAGAGATTGTGTTGCGTGCATGTAACAAAAGCTGAACGGAAAAGAAACCATAGATTGATTGCCGCAGTTGTATGCTGGCTGCTGAACTCGCCTCATACATCTTCAGTTTGTACAGCTGAAAGATTGTGCTGCTTACCCTCTTGAGTTATGTTTAAGTGGAATTTCAATGCATGATTGTAGCGAGAATCTTCTCAATCATCTTTGTGTTGTGTTCAGTTTGAAATGTTTAGTATAAGAAGAGCTGTTCAGAGTCATTACAGCATGGTGCTGTCCTCTTACTGACTAGCGTGTGGTAATTGTATTTCGGCATTCTGATCAGAATTATGTCTTGCTTTCCATGCCTTCAGGCTAGCAACATGGTGAGTTAGATGTTTATAAAAATTCTGACTTTTTTTGCCTGTCACACTTCAATGTGATGCTTGAAAAAGAATAAGATTTGTGTTTATCTTTGTTTAATTCAACATATTAGGATGATTGTAAAAATACAAAGGCAATTTGAACAATTGCTTCGTGTTTAAGCTTTATTATGTTTGCTTTAGGTTCTATTGATCTTCTTACAAAAGATGGACTTACTGCTGACTAAAACTCCACCAGAGGACATTAAAAGTAATGTCTTACCCATGGTGTATCGAGCCCTAGAGGCACCTTCCATTCAGATTCAGGTACTGTATAGTGGTATTCAAAGAGGATGTGATGTGTCCTCATTGTCACTTTGTGAACGTAAGCTTTAACACATTTTGGTTATGCATTTTTAGAAAAAAACAGCGACTGTACTTTAATTTTCTGATGATTCTCGATATCTTGTACTGCAGCCAATGGGGCAGACAAGCAATCTTCTGCTAATGGTAGTCTGAAGCCAGCAGCACATAGGTATAATCCTTCGGTCTGGGGATGTGCCTGGCTTCTGCTAGTTCCTCTTTACGGCTTGGCTACAAAGATTGCTCAAGCTTAGTAAGTTACTGAGGGAATTCAAGTGACACGTAAATGTAAATAGCAGCGAGTGTTGGGATTCCAGCTCATTGCACAAAGAACAATCCTGCGTTGCAATAACTAATAGCATTTCTTTAGCGTTTGTGATGAAAACAAAACCACATTGAAATGCAATTTTGCACAACCTGCTAGTTTTTTTTTAGTTCAATTAAGTATTTTTATTTCACTTTAGGAACTTTGCCTCAACATCATTCCAACCTTCGCAAATTTAATCGACTATCCCTCCATGAAAAATTCTCTAATTCCGCGAATTAAGAATGCAAGTTTACAGACATCTTCCCTTGCAGTAAGTATACAGCAGTATCCCTACCCACCTCTGATCTGGTCATTAAGATTGAACAAGTCCATATTGTGGAATTATATTTATTTTGTGTATAAATTGTGGATTATAAACACTGGCATGGAATAGTTGGGCCGAATGGCTTGTTTCCATGCTATATCACACTCTACATCTCTATGTAATACTTGTCCATTATCTGGAAGTTAATTAGATCTTTGGTTTGTTTCCAGGTACGTGTCAATTCTTTGGTTTGCTTAGGCAAGCTTTTGGAATACTTGGACAAATGGTTTGTCCTGGATGAAATATTCCCTTTCTTACAACAAATCCCGTCCCGGGAGCCTGCTGTTCTCATGGGAATTTTAGGTAAGTTTGGTAGATGTCTTTTATCATCTCTCTATGGTTTCCAAGTTTCTGAGCTTGTGCTTCAGATGAATTTGTTATTTTATATAGGTCTGTATTGGAACCTCTCTGTGGTTTATTGTGATTAAGTGGAAGAGTATGCTTTGCAGTGAGTGGGTTAACCAACTTATGATTGCTTTTTGTATGACAGGTATCTACAAATGCACCTTTAGCCACAAGAAGCTGGGTGTAACCAAAGAACAATTGGCTTCAAGGGCTCTGCCACACCTCATTCCCCTCAGCATTGACAACAATTTGAACCTGAATCAGGTTAGCTCACCTCTGATTGTTGCAAGACTTTCTGTCACAGCCACCTTAAAAAAGAGTGGTGCATTTTTAGAATCAATGCATTGTTTCTTATTGATGCACTGAGTTTGTAGGAGTGTTTTACTTTTTCATTAAACTCAGGAGTGTTCTTAAATTCTCAAAAGATGCCACTCCTGCCCTGAATATTTATGATTTTAATTACTTATTGGTTAATTGTAAACTTCGCTTTGAATGAAGAAACAGGACCTTTTTTTGAAAAATTAGCTGAAAGCTATTTGGTTTTAAATTACAGAGAAACATGTGAACAGTTTGGAAGCCAGAAGTTGCTGGTAACCTAAAAAAGGAAAATTTATCTTAAAACATTAAGCAGATGTTGTGCAAGGAAGCAAATAAAATATAGTGGAAAAATATCTAGTTTCATTGGCGCTTGAAGGAATTCTGCCATCATTTTGTATATACTGTACATGTGTTTATAAGATTTATTTACAGTAAATGGTACACAATCTTGTAGTTCATGAGACGAAATTGGAAAAATTTAAACTGTTTGATATATTTTAGTTATATGTCCTTCAGTTTCTCGAGATGATAGGTAAAAGTTGCCACAGATAGTCTGTCTGAGTTTTTGTCCTGATTGCTTTTTAGGTGGTTGTGTTCAATAAGAACATAAGAAATGCTGGACGAAAAAAGACCAAGGTTCATCAAGTTCACCTTCCTGGCGGTCACATGCACAAATGTCCCAAACTATCTATGTACTATATCCCATTAATGATAATTTAAAACATTTTCATCTTTTCTTTTGCAGTTTAATTCCTTCATGGGAGTGATAAAAGAGATGATAAATAAAATAGAGGCTGAGCATAAAACTAAACTGGAACAACTGCATGGCATGCAAGAACAGCAGAAGTGAGTCGTGCTTGAGGCTTGTTTTCTCTCTGTGTGATCGTCTTTGTTTTGAGTGAGCTATGAGAATGATGAATCGTTACCGGATAAACTCATTAGCACAGAGTCTAGGACTCTGGCAAAATTTTCATGAATTACACACAAATCCTGATAATCTGGTATAGGTGTGAGCGTGATTCAGTTGGCAGTATTGTCATCGCTGGGTTGGAAGGTTGTAGGCTTTAAATTGCTAGGCTGACATGACTGAACTGTTGGGATGGATTGCATTGTCGAAGGATCCATCTTTCAGATATTTTAACATGATACCAAATAAAAGGATTATTAATATTGTTTCCCTGCCCTCTATAAGTGCACTTTATTAATGTTCTCTGGTGCTTCCATGTTTTCTGCCATTTCCAAGTGATTTCCAAGAGTGAAAATCTATCACCTCCACTAAATGTTTTGTACTTGCATTTTTAGTTAATGTATTTCCTAACAACCCACTGTCTGGGAAGGAAGGACACAACCTTCTTGCTCCATGTTGTGCTTTCTTACTGAAAAGATTTTTAAGATCTTCACCGGCTTTGAAATGAATGCAACTTGTGCAGCAAAGAGAATAGATCTGTCTCTAATTTGCACAATATTAAACCTACCCACTGTTATTCTAAGGAACTGCATTGCACTCAATTTGAGTTAAAAGTTTTGGTGTTTTGATACTTGAATGAAAGGGAATAGGAAGTTATTAGAAGGATTTTCCATCAAAAGTAGCTGCAGGGTTTGTGGTTCAGAGACACAGAGAGCTCAAACAAAGGAATTTGTTTTTATTAGGAAAAAAGATTGAAAGGAGAACGTGATTCAGGTCTTCAAAGCAAGGAGCATATTATTAGGTTTTCTGGCTAATAGAGCACTGAGGTTCTGTCTGTTATTTTTAGGAGTTTGGATCTACCCGGACAGTTTTCAAAAGTTGGTGATTCGAAGGAAAGCTCAGACAATCAGGTAAAATATGCCAAAAATAAAAAGCAGAGAAAACATAATAGTTTACTTGAAAACAATTTAGTCTGTTCTAGAGGCACGGATGTAAAACTTGCACATTGCAGTGATATTAAGACTTGTGTCTTTACCAACATCAGCTTTTTAAACAATCCATCTTGTGTCTGTTAATTACAATAATCCATATAAAAGTGCTGGAGTGTTTAGTACTTGTACGGTAAGATAAATAACTTACCAGGGAATGTTAATGCTTGAACCTAAGTCTCAATATAATAGAAAGCATATGCAGAGTTACAGTTCGGTTTGGATCAGTTACACTTTTACCCCAATTTAAGCTCTCCGAGACACCGTCCAGCATGAAGGGCACTATATAAATTCAAGTTGTTGATCTATTGTATACCACTGTTAATTCACTGTGTTCCGTGACCTGTGTGTCTTGCTGAATAGATTGACAAGATCTTCAACAACTTTGGAGTGGGTGCAGGTGGTGCAGGAAATAACAAAGAGAATGGGCCAGTTTCCAATTCACACAGACAATCCAAAGTAAGAATTAATTCACTCAAAAAGTGTTACATCTAGAATCTGTTGTTTCATAGAGTCTGGATTGACCTTCAATGCAATGGTAGTTTCCTCTTTATTTTCCTGTCAATAAGCTAGTTGCAAGCAATTCATGTTGGTCTCTGTTTCTACTTCAGTGATGATCTATGGTCACCAGCAACAGTTATTTGGCAACCAGAAATAAATTGGTGAATGTGTATATAATATGTATAAATCCAGTGCTGCTTCATTGAAGGCATTTTCACACATTACTAGATTCATACACAAGGTAACACATGCAGTGTGATTCACTCTCAATCCCTGTACTAAGATACAGTACTGATTGCTTGGCATATGAATCACAGGGAATGGTTCATTTTGTTTTACTTCTGCTCAATTTATCTCCAGGTTGCATTATTCCCAGGAAAAAGAAGTGAAATTCTCCCAGTGTCATTCTTGAAAAAGTGTCTACTTAGTTTAGAATAGAACCCAGGTGGGGTTACTGGCATCTTAACTTAAACCACTGAAAATATACATTAAAAATATGAAATGTAGATTGGACAAGAAATAATTGGATTACTTTCATCTGTCTGTATCTAGGTATCTCTTACATTGGAAGAAAAACAGCGACTGGCCAAAGAGCAGGAACAGGCTCAAAAACTTAGAAACCAGCAACCTCTTGCCCCTCAAGCTCTCCGAGCTTCACCTGCCAGTAAGCAGGTAAGTCTTGCACAGCCAGATCTACTTCGAGTGGTTTATTATATCATGTTCACTGTGTTTTCAAATTGTTCCGTTTAAATAATTAATCTGTTCAGCGGCAGTGAAAGGTGTCTCTTACAATTCCAGTTTTTATTTCTTATTCTTAGTAAATATGGAAACTATTAAAATGTTATAAAATTTTGTATTGAAGAGTTTGTCATGCAACTGACGATGTCAGATTTATGCTACGTATTTAGTTGACAATGCAACAAAGAATGGGGAGTATAAATAGAGCTTCATTTATTTTAATAGTTATATATTGATGAGTTATTCTATTTTAATAGTTATTTATTGATGAGTTATTCTATTTTAATAGTTATTTATTGATGAGTTATTCTATTCTAATTTATTTTAATACTTTTGAATATTCGGCATTATTTTTGTTTACAGACCAAAGACCTGACAAGCAGTTTGTTAGACAGTATGACCTCCATGAACTCACTTTCCATAAACACATCCAAGCCCAGTACTGGTTCAAGTGGGTTTGCCTCGATTGGTCCAATAAACAACAGGATGGGATTTCCATGTCCAAGCAGTAACATGAACACTTTAGGAAATGTGAGCAATGGTGCAGGTTACAGCACTGCAATGACATTCCAACCTTCATATGTGAACAGCACGGGAGTGGCTGGTGCAAATCAGAATTTCTTCAACGGTCGAGCTACAGCTGGTATGAACAGAATGACTATGCCAAATGCTACTAGTATGCCAACTTTCTCCACAATGGGAAATATGAGCCAGCCTGGAATTCCACAGATGCCCCATCACTCTCAGCAGCAAGGTAAACCTGTAAACTTGACGGCCTTGGATAATCTGCTTGGACCGCAGAAATCTAGAGTCAGCATGAACCAAATGCTACACCAGATGCAGGCACCAGCAGCTGGTCAGAACCAATGGGTCAACCAGTTTGTTCCATCCCAAGGTTCACAGGTCGTCAACAGTCCAATGGGAGGAACTCCAGCAAACGTGATGGGACAAGCTGGGTTTGGTCTGCCGTCACTGCAGGCAAACCCATTTATGTCTCCGAAGACCTTTATGCAGCCAAGCTTGCCCACGAACTCCATACCACCGAGCAGTTCAGCTAACAATGACCTGAAGGACCTATTTGGTTAATGTTCACCCACTTCTTCACAGAGTTTTGGAAGAAGATTGCAACTTCTGAATTGTTCAAAGCATTTATTGCTTTTGAGTTTCCGTGCTTTATCTGGCCAGTTTTGTTCCTTTTTGCTGCTGGAAATACCCAACTGGCCTTACATAGTGAATGTTACCCAACGTGTCCAAACCAGCAGGTTTTCACAGGTTGCAGGTGGTCTTATAATATGAAAAGCATGTTCTCTTTGCTGCCTTTTACAGGTATTCACTGTGAGAAGACTTTCTGCTCAGTGCTACTTCAATTTTAGTTCACATGATAAAAAAGCTGGCTGTCTGGGACCAGTTCTGCAGCCTTAATGAATTTGCAGCAATATTAGGCGAGACAATTTTAATTTATTCTAATTTGTTGATATTTTGTTTGTCAGAAATGACGCTGATTAATCATTCTGCCACTTTGCCCATGACAGATTAAAGATAAATAGTTTACAGTTAAGTAAAGTCTTAGTTTACTTTGTTAGGCAATTGGTAAACGTGATGTATTAGATGAAGACTTATGAATATGATTGATCAGTTGAGCAGCATGTTTAAGTTCTTTGTAAATATCCTTTGTCTTGAAACTGTTGCCTACGTTTAGGGCAACTGCAGTGTATACTGTCCAAAGTTATTCAACATATCAAAATTCCTGTTATTTTGAAGGCAACTGTGGCTTCTTGAAATTCTTTATTTGAAGTGTTTTCTTAAGACTGTTGTATTTTATTGATCTGACTTAATTGTAAAGGGTTGGTGAAATTACAATATATGGGGCACTTATTTTAGGCATTTAGCAACAGTTTTCTTGCCTATCTTGATTTTCTAGTGTATGTTTGATGTGATAATTTGTTGAAAGATACTTTCTCTTGGCATGACATGGCATATCATCTTCCTGAATACTATAGGTATTTAAAAAAAACTATTCTTATACCAAATTGTAGATCAATTGAAGTGGAATAAATGTACAGTAAGTGTTTAGACACTTTAAATCACTTTGTACTGTAAAATTAACCAGTGTTGTTTTAGAAGGTCAAAACTATAGATACATAGAGGAAGAAACAATATTATGATGTTTTAGCATTAAAATCAAGGAAAAAGAGGTGCAGTGTGTGCGCGCATTTGTCAAGAGTGGGGGCGATGAGGGAATTGTGCAGATAATTAACATGAACTTGATGGATTTCGCCAATTAGCAGATTGGTTTGTATCATTTTATGGAACAGATGAGACACAAAACAGAACTTAATTTCATTTGAAATGTGAAACTGCTGTGGTTGATCACATTCTGAGTTTAATTGTAACAGTTCTGATGGAATGGTACAGAAGAGAGATTTACCTGAGAAATTCAATGTGTATTGAAACAAGCCGCCCTAAACTTCAAGGATCCTGCACAAGATATCACATTTTGATCATGCAGAACCCCAAGCTTCTGAACCAGAGCTGAGAGTGGAACCAAGCTATAACACAAGAGATGGACTCAGGTTTTATCCTACATCATTGGCAATGAGAGCTATTATAAACACAGCATCCACTGCGAATGAGATGTCATGGAGCAGATGACTTCAAGATCCTCACTTCGCATCCCGCCTATCTCTCCAACCTCTCTCCTCACTGTCTCCCCTCTACTGGCTCCGGCCTCCTTGTCCCTCGAATCCCCCACTCCACCATTGTGACCATGCCTTCAGCCACTATGCTCCGAAGCTATGGAACTCACTCCCTCAATCCTTTCACCTTGCCCCCTCTTTCCCCATTATCAGGTTGCGCCTGAAGACCTTCCTCTTCGACCGTGCCTACGGTCACCTTCTCCCTTCCCCTGGCTCGGCATCGGGCTCCACTTTTGTTAAGCACTCTAGGACGCTGCCCAACTTGGAGGGCGCTATATAAATGCGAGTTGTTGAGATCTGAATCAAGCAGAACTATAAAATGCAGATCCATTGAAAAGTTTGGTCAAATCTTACACTTTTTATTCATATAATAATAATGCCTGGCATTGATCAATGTTGTGGCCTATACATATTCACTGGGTTTACCAACATTTTTGTCAGTTAAGCAGCCAGGATGTTCTTGAAAGGATCTGTGGAAACTGGCATTGGGCTTCATGCTTGAAATTTGAAACTCAGGCCCTCATTTCTGCTTGAGCCAAATCATTCCCTTTTACCACACACATTCTGAATTACATCTCACTGAGATGCCTTCTGCGTGCTTCCTACACTCCACCTCTCATTGTCCTCTATTTTACATGTAGTCTCACATTTTAGATCCAGACATTAGCCTGCAAAAGTGTAATATTTTATGTCTCGGGAGTTCTAGCTACTCCAAGTAGAGTTTCTGCTCAGACTAGTTTATGAATGGATTGAGTGATGAGCTTTTTGATGTGATAACTATGTGCAGTGCAGTCAATGCCATCGCACCCAGTTGGAAAACAGGGCAAAGCAGCTTTAACTTCAGTTCGTTTTAATTTAATAAAATAATCCTTGCATTTGATATAGCACCTTATGTCATCAAGGCATCTCAAAGCGCTTCACAAGATATACTGTTAAGTGATGTGTCCGTATCTTTTGGGGTGAATTTGCACAGCAACATCTCACAAACAGCCATGGAGTGATTGACCAATTTTATCTGGGGTATTGTTGGCCAGGACATTCGGAGAAATTCAGTTCTCTTCGAATAGTGCCACGGTATCTTAAACATCCACCTGAACAGGCAAACGGGGCCTCAGTTTAACCTGTCATCCGAAGGATAGCACCTCTTAACAATACAACCCAGTACTGCATTGGAGAGTCAACAAAAACTATACGGGTTTCAAATCACGACATGGGGCTTGAACACCCAACCTTCTGACTCAGGTGAGATTGCTACCAACTGAGCCATGCTAACACACAGTTTTTGAGGTGTGGCTCAAGGAACAATTTGCTTTATAATAATAAACTTTCCATTTTCTAATACTGTAGTACCTATAACTTTGATACATCTCAAAGCACATCACAATTAATTGCTGTCATTTGCTGTGGGAATATTTTAGCAAAGGGGATAATAATAATAATATACAAGATTTAGATTTGCAGCCTGTTTCCCAAATCTTAGCATATGTAATTATCTGTTCACTTTCCTACGTTACATTCCAGTTAAACGTAATTAAATTATTTTTTAAATGATATTTCTCAAAAATATTTATTTACATTTTTGTTGATGGGTTTACCCTACAGCAAAGGGTCAACTTAAGTGCTTTGAGACATCCGCCTGATGTGCATGGCGCTATATAAATGTTACTTGTGGAGTATTGTAAACTTCAGTTTACGCTTCTGTGTCTTATTATCCACAAGCTTCTGTATGGATGGGCAATGAGACTAGAGCAGGTACAACAACAACAACTTGTATTTATCTAGCATCCTTTATGCGGCATTAGTGTCTTGTTTGCTTCAGGGGAGGAGCCAGCAACACCATAAACACAAAAGTCCTGTAAACCTTTTGAACCTTCTTTTACAGATAACACTATTTCTCTTGTCCTGAGCTCCAGTGTTACAGAAACCATTGTGAATTATTTGGTCATCTCAATTTGCACCTATGCCAAGTTCTCCAGTAGTGTTCTCAGGAAAATATTTATCCAGTTTGTTTTCTCAAGAGGTTAGCTATTGTGGTAACACTTGCTATTGGAATCTGTTCCACATATTCCTTACTGCACAGGGGAGAATTATTCTCACCTCTAAATCATCTTTCAGACTTCTTTTTAAACATGTAGCCTCCAGTTTTGCTCTCACATTCTGAGCCAAATAGGCCTTTTAAATCTACGTAGGCTTCATCGTGTTAAGGATCATGTTCCAACTTTACTCTTTTTTTCCTAAAGTTCAGTAAGTTCAGGAATCCTGTAGTTCAGTGGTTAGAGCACTCACCTTGCAATTGAGAGATGTGGGTTTGATTCCCGGCAGGGTGAAACCTTGGGCAAGTTACTTTAATCCACACGCCTGATAATTATCCCTCAAGAAAAAAAACAACAATAAAATTGGTCACTTCAGTCCACGACTGTTTGTGGGACACTGCTGTGAGCAATTGGCTGCCGCGTTTCGCCCACAAATATACAGTTAATTCACTTTACAGTATATTCTGTGAAGCGCTTTGAGACGTCTAGAAGACATGAAAAGTGCTATATCAAATGCAAGGATTATTATTTTACTTATAAGCCTCATGAGCCCTGTGATTCTCAGAATCATCCTAGTTTGTGACGTGTTTGGAGCATGAACAGGGGTTGGTTCAGAAGAACAGTGACCTTGTAATATTGACAAAATAGACCTTGATAGGAATTATTTGTTCAAAAGGTTCAAGGTGTGCCGTATTGCCTTCTCATAGTTTGTCACCGAATCTGCTCACAAACTTAATAATGTGAGCTTAATAATGTGACTCATTACAGTCTTACTGTGTATCCTCGTTTGTGAGCAGGTTCAGTGACTGAAACTGAGGAGGCAACAGAGCACACATCTTCAATCTGTGTTTCAAACAACAACTTGCATTTACAGAGCCGTCATGTGGGGTAGCCTAATGGAGCATTTAACAAGTGATGTAGTTTGACATCAATAGCATAGTTTGAAAAACCTCATTCACTGTTAGTAAATATTTAAAGGAGCAAAGGCTTGCTAAACTTTTCCAATATATACAAGGTGAAAGCAATGACTTCTCAAAAGCCACAGCTAATGCTTGCCGTATGAAGAATGAAAACAGGAATCCAGCCACACAGTACTCATGTGCATGAACAGCCTTGTAATAAACAACCAGTGCTGGTAGGCAGGACAGTGCAATTTTGAGACAACTACATAAAGTAGTTTGGGGGTGAAAATGATGGGTTTATTCTATTTCAGGTGATTGCACACAATAGCACTTGTGGAATGACTAGAGTTGGAGTTTTGGCTATGTTTTCTTTCTTGCAAATGGAGATTTGTTCAGTTCTGATCCACCAGCAATCCACCGCCGGATCTCAGAGCTGGTCCTGTTCAGCAGTCAGCAATAGTTCTAAGTATTTCCAGAGCGTTCTGGTCGTTGGGTGAGGACTCAAGTGATGACCCCACTGTCAAACACTCTGCCAACTTTCACGCCTCACACCTGAGTACTGGCAAAATATTGGAAGGCACCAGACACCGATGGAACCTTACCCTAGTAAAATGATTCAGGTACTTTCCTGGGAGAACCAGGAAGGCAGCGAATGAAACCATTCACCGGTGGAACGTTGCTTGATTTGGCGCCTGAGCGTATCTCGTAATTCTACATTGACAAATAACCTTTGTTATTTTGTAATTCAGGGAATTGTAATGGTTCGATGCATTCGTTACCCACAGGGTGGCGATATTGCCCAGGTTATGTGGGATCTTTGCCACTTACAGTGCTTGACCTTCTGCATCACAAGGCAATTCCATTTACTTTCACTTAATTATAAGCAGCAGGGGATGTGCTCGGTGCACTATTGGTTGCACGTACCGTAATCGATTTGACGCTTTTAATAATAATTCAATCAAGCTTTTATTTTTAATGTGAACTTGAATCACACTGAGTGATTCACTCCAATGGTTCAGTTTGGTGAAGACGCCACCGGATGTGAAAATGAACCAGGTATCATCAAATGGAGAAGTGTTAAGGATGTAACAATTGGCTTCAGCACCCTGGGCTAGGGAGGGAAAATTAATCAGAGTTCTTGCTCTCGATCCCTGGCTAAGAACTCTAGCTGGAACAGGACATGTGTCGACGCTGTGCAAGTATTGGCTGAGATGTCCTTATAATCATAATATTAATAATCCTTGCATTTGATATAGAGTCTTATACTGATATGATACACTGTAAAGTGGATCGACTGTGTATTTTGTGGATGAAACGCGGAAGCTATGTATCATAAACAGCCATGGAGTGAGTGACTGATTTTATTTGGGGGATTGTTGGCCAGAACACCGGAAGAAACACTCTTCTCTTTTAAAATATTGTCAAAGGATGTTTAACATCCACCTAAACGAGCAGATGGGGCCTCGGTTTAATGTCTCATCCAAAGGATGGCACCTCAGAGATTGCAACACCGCCAACGCTGCAATGGAGTGCCAGTTATGTGATACCAAGTCCAGACGTGGG